GATAGATAGATAGATAGATAGATAGATAGATAGATAGATAGATAGATGGCACAGGGTGAGTTGAAGATGAAGGGGTGATATCTGAAGAATAAAATTAAGGGGTGAGAGAGGATTATACTGGGAGAAGGAGAAAGGGAGAGGTAGAATGGGGTAAATTATCTCACATAAAACAGACAAAGCTTTTACAGTGGAGAGGAAGTGGGGGAAGGTGAGAGGGAATGAGTGAATCTTATTCTCATCAGATTTGACTTAAGGAGGAAATAACATACACACTCAATTGTGTATGGAAATCTATCTTACCCTACAGGAACATAGGGAGGGAAGGGATAAGACAGTGAGGAGGATGATAGAAGAAAGGGCAGATCGAGGGAAGGGGTAATCAGAAGAAAACACTCCTGAGGAGGGACAGGGCTAAAAGAGAGAATAAAATAAATGGGGCATAATCAAAAGCAAACACTTCTGAGGAGGGACAGGGTTTTAAGAGAGAATAGAATAAATGGGGGGGTGGGATAGGTGAAGGGAAATATAGTTAGTTTTTCACAACACAAATACTATAGAAATGTTTTGCATGACTACACATGTATAACCTGAATCGAGCTGCTTGCCTTCTCAATGAGAGTGGGTGGGGAGGGAGGAAGGGAGAAAATTTGGAACCCAAAGTTTTAAAAACAAATGTTAAAAACTGTTTTCACATGCAACTGGGAAATAAGATATACAGGCAATGGAGTATAGAAATCTATCCTGCTCTACAGGAAAATAGAAGGGGAAGGAGATAAGAGGAAGTGGGGATGGTGATAGAAGGGAGGGTACATTAGGGGAAGGGGTACTCAGAATGCATGCCATCTTGGGGTGCAGGAGGGGCAAGATGGGTAGAAAATTTAGAACTCACAATCTTGTGGAAGTGAATGTTGAAAACTAAAAATAACGAACATAAATTTGGAATGATACCATAAAGGAGATAACCTGCCTTTTGAGTTGGGGAAAGAATTGGGTGTGTAGAAGTCATTACCATTTAGAAGAGAGAAACTAACTGCATAACTGTGGATTACCTGAATCAACCAGAAAGATAATTGTCTGAAGCCTATCTTCTTCTCCAAGATTCTTAAAGTGCAAATATAAAGTAAACTGGTTCCTTATGGTGGATAGAATATATTAGCAATATAATAATAATAATAATGATAATAATACCCTACATACATTCCTTGAGTTAAGAGCCCAAGTGACTGTTCATGGTAGGCACACCGACACGTCTTTCATATTAACTTACTCTACAAGAAAGAAAATAAACATTTATTAAACATCTAAAAAAAAAGTTGAGTTCTCCTGCTGAAGCATAAGGGGCACTATCTCAAGCTTCTTGTACTGGTGGCCAGAGGCCTGGTCCCTGGCTTTGTGTGATGGGTTCTTGGGTGCTGGCAACTGGAGGATGTAGTTGTCTGGCAGCTTACCTGGTGCTGAGCTGGGGTCGTGTCTGTTGGTGGTGTCTGATGTGTGCTGAGGCCAGGTGGGATTTTTCTGCATTTCACCAGGGCTATGCTGAAGCACAGGGAGGTTTGGCTACAGAAGGACACCTGCCAGGTGGTGCACATGGTAGATCTCTGAGCTGGAATCTGCCAGTTCCCTTAGCTGTGCCAAGTCAAGCAGGGGTTTTCACGTTAACATTTAACCTGCTCTATCACCCTGAGCCTCTGAATCTAACACTGGTTTGAAGAGATGGGGTTTGCTATTGGCTTGTTGGGATTCCTCTCATCTTGGACTGCATTCCCCTTCCACCAGAATGAGAAGAGCCTTTCCTGTCCATCCCCTGAGCCTCCCAGGCTAAAACACTGCTCCACCCCATCTTTTTGCTAGCTCTGCTGTTCCAGGATTTTTCCTGGGTCATTATTTTGTGGGTTTTTCAAGGGTCAATAAGGGAGAGTGAAAGCAACTTACTGTTTACTCTGTGATCTTGGCTCTCCAAAGTCCTCCAGCATGTTTCTTAAGCAAGGCCAGAATTTCGGGCTTGCAGAGGTGGAACAGGCCTACCCACAGTGATAGCCAGAGGTGAAAAGCCTTCAGAAAGTAATAACAACAACAACCAAAACAAACTCCTTGATACCTTTGACATTTGTTGAAAGACCAATTTTTTTGTTTGGGTTTTTACCCTGATTATGGAGGCAAAACTCAAGACAAAGAGAATTATATATATATATATATATATATATATATATA